CGGCTGATACTTCATATCTCTCCTACCCGGGGTACAAATTGGAACACTCCTTTGTGCCCCGGGCTGGAGTTTGTGTATACGTCAGAGAGGACATCTGTTTTCGACGCCTCGGCAGCCTTGAAGGTACGGACCTGTCCATCCTATGGCTGCGCGTAGACAGCGACGACCATCCCCGCGTCTACGGGTGCCTCTATAGGTCCCATAGCGGTAATGCCAACACAGACCGACTCATCGACCACGTCCAAATGGCTGCAGACTCCGTGCTACAACAGGTCCCATCCGCAGAGATCGTGATACTCGGTGATTTCAACGCCCACCACGCTGAATGGCTTGGTTCTCGTTCAACCGATCATGCGGGTAGATCTGTCTACGACTTTGCTTTGGCATATGGTCTAACACAACTGGTTACTTCGCCTACGCGGATCCCAGATGTGGAAGACCATGTACCTTCCCTGTTGGACCTTCTGCTGACCTCTCATCCGGACGGATATCAGGTCTCCGTCGATGCCCCTCTGGGCTCTTCGGACCATTGTCTGATCCGGAGCACAGTGCCACTCACGCTCCAATCGCAGTTGCGATCTACAGCTTGCCGCCGTGTTTGGCACTATAGGTCAGCTGATTGGGACGGGATGCGGTCTTTTTTTGCATCCTACCCTTGGGGGCGGGTTTGCTTCTCGCCGGAAGATCCCAGCGTTGTTGCCGATTCTGTTGCTGATGTGGTACTTCAGGGTATGGAACTTTTTATTCCATCCTCTGTGGTGCCCATCGGAGGCAGATCCCAGCCATGGTTTGGTCGCTCCTGTAAAATAGCATCACGCTATAAGCAGGAGTGCTACCGGGCCTGGGCTGACGCATCAACGTCTCGGGACTTAAACACCAGCGCACTTAAAAAGAAGTATAATTCCGCCTCCAGGTCCTTCAAAAGCGTCATTGCCAAGGCAAGGTCTGAGCACATCGGCAGAATTGGCGAGAAGCTAGTTCGCCTTCCTTCGGGAACCCGTGCATTCTGGTCTCTCGCCAAGGCTGTCCAAGGGAACTTCTGTCAGCCATCCCTCCCATCTCTGCACAGAGAGGACGACTCACTGGCCCATGCCGCAAAAGAGAAAGCCGATCTGTTGTGCTCTCTTTTTGCGTCCAACTCGACTCTAGATGACGGGGGGAACACACCGCCGACCATTCCGCGATGTGAGTGCTCCATGCCGGATGTGCGATTTACACAGCGCTCGGTTCGCAAAGCACTCTTCTCCCTGGACGTCAGCAAGTCGAGTGGGCCCGATGGAGTCCCTCCCATTGTGCTGAAGACGTGTGCTCCGGAGTTGGCACCGGTTTTAACGCGTCTTTTCCGGTACTCCTACTCCCAAGGCGTAGTCCCGAATTCATGGAAGACAGCTTTGGTCCACCCGATCCCTAAAAAAGGCGACCGCTCAGACCCGTCCAACTACAGGCCTATCGCCATCACCTCCTTGTTCTCCAAAATAATGGAATCCATTATAAACTGCCAGCTCATGAGGTACCTTGAGGATCACCAGCTGATCAGTGACCGTCAGTACGGTTTTCGTCGGGGTCGATCAGCAGGTGATCTTTTAGTTTACTTAACTCATAGATGGGCGGAGGCAGTAGAGTCCAAGGGGGAGGCATTGGCCGTTAGTTTGGACATAGCGAAGGCCTTCGATCGGGTCTGGCACAAGGCGCTTCTTTCGAAGCTTCCTTCCTATGGGCTTCCCGAGAAATTGTGCAAATGGATCACCAGTTTCCTTGCTGATCGGAGCATCAAGGTCGTAGTAGACGGTGCATGCTCTGATTACAAGCCTATCAACGCTGGTGTTCCACAAGGCTGCGTGCTATCACCAACGCTGTTTCTCCTGCATATCAATGATATGTTGCTAACTGGTAGCATTCATTGCTATGCAGACGACAGCACTGGGGATGCCTTATATACCGGCCGTGCCAATATTTCTCGGGAAAACGTCGCCGAGTACCGGGACAAACTTGTGTCTGAAGTCGAGTCTTTGCTTAACAAAGTCTCGGATTGGGGCCGACTAAATCTAGTCCAATTCAATCCCCAGAAGACACAAGTTTGCGCGTTTACCGCTAAAAAGAACCCCTTTGTCGTATCTCCTCAGTTTCAAGGCACTCCCCTTGCTGCCTCAGCCAGTATCGGAATCCTTGGCGTCGACATATCGAATAGCGTGCAGTTTCGTGGTCACTTGGAAGGGAAGGCCAAATTGGCCTCTAAAAAGCTTGGCGTGCTCAGCAGAGCGAGACAGTATTTCATGCCGGCACATCGCTTGCAACTTTACAAAGCGCAAGTTCGGCCCCACATGGAATACTGTTCTCATCTCTGGGCCGGGGCACCCCAGTGCCAGCTCCTTCCACTTGACCGCATCCAGCGCAGAGCGATTCGAATCGTCAACGACCGAGTTCTTTCCGATCGGCTCGATACACTGGCACTGCGTAGAGATGTTGCATCTCTTTGCGTATTTTATCGCATCTATCACGGGGAGTGCTCTGAGGAATTGTTCGGACTAATTCCAGCCGCTCAATTTCACCATCGCACGTCGCGACAAAACTCGCGTTACCATCCATACCATCTGGATGATTGGCGGTCCACCACTGTGCGATTTAGAAGAAGTTTTCTCCCTCGCACAACTTCTTTGTGGAATCAATTACCACCAGCGAATTTTCCGAACCGATACGACTTAGGAACCTTCAAGAAAAGAGCTTACACCTTTCTAAAAGGCCGGCAACGCATCTGCAATTCCCCTGGTGTTGCGGTTGTTCATGGGCGGCGGTAGTCACTTAACATCAGGTGAGCCGCATGCTCGTTTGCCCCCTATTCTATAAAAAAAAAAAAAAATATTAACAATTCAACCATTAAAGACAATTTAAGAAAAGCCAATAGTGACTCTACATTTTACTCTACCATTTATCATCATTATCCAAATTCAAAATGAACATTGTTCAAAGATTTGTTTAAGTTTGACAGTGTACTCGGCTCTGATTCAATTTTTGATCGAAAATTTAATCGTCAGATAAAAATTATTCTTAGGATAATCTAAATTAAACATAAACAAATTAAAAATGTCGGTTAAATTAATAAACTAGTTCATTTGTTTCACTTTTATATTCGGTCAGTTTATACCTAATTTATTTGATGGATAACTTTTATTTAATTTTCATTTTAATAAAAATACGTTTTATATTACGCTGGCATTATTGCCAGTTTATGGGTAAAATCGGATTCTCTACAAATAAGCTAAAGTATAATCTAGGCGTCTGCATATTGGCATTCTCGCTGCGAGTATATTACGGGAGTCGCTTTGATGCATGTAAAACACACCATGTTTATTCTGTCAGCCCTGCCACCCTGCATAACTAATGTGTTCACAACATTGTTTATTCTGAATTCATTAACGTCCACCTTTATTTTAAGTCAATAAAGTTTATTATTCCCTGCAACTTGCGCTTAGCAACGGTAAGACTAATTTGGCAACTTTACACGGTGTTCCTTTGACATTGATTTTGGTTGGGCCTGGACGTCTTCGTATTACAAAGTTTGACGTAGGTTTGTCGCGCGGTTAGTAGGTATTTAGTTAATTTTGAAGAAAAACAATGGATGACGGCAAGAAACATGTTCAGGACATATGAAGGATGAGTTTAAGTGTGGTTCACGAATACAATAAGCTTATTGTTTGTTAAGATTTGAATTTAAATTCAATGGTTCTACTTAGAATCATTAAAACAGATGTTATTTTGTACTGATACACAGAAATTATATTATAACACAAAGAATTCTTAAAATCAATCAAATTTACATATATTGTACACGTATCTCTCAAGTTAATCATTAATTAACTTCGCCCGAGACATTGCTAATTCCAATATTTTGACCGAAAAATTATATTTTCTTTTATCGGTGTATTTGCAACATTTCAGAATAAGCAAAAATAATTTAAATACGACTTACTCGTATCAGCCATATTTTCGTCCGATAATTCCTTACTGGTATTTAAGAGAAGCACAACGCGATGTTCTCAAGTTAGACGTGTGACATTGCACTGAATCGCAGGGGTGCAGCAGGATGCGTGCGGAATTACAAACTGCGAGCGCGCTCGGGTAGCGGCGGCGGCGCGAAGTGTGGCCCGCGGTGGTGTGCACAACTCGCATCGTACTGGCCACTGGCGTCAGGCGGCGTATACGCACGCGGTACGAATACTAAAACCACGACCCGACTTCATAATCGCATCGCCATCTCTGACGCCTAATCTCGTTAAACAAATTTGGTCCCGAGTGTCAATATTCCCGATGCGTTATCGATCGCCAAACATAGGCCGTAAACAGTAAACACGAATTGATTGTATTTCTTTCACGTTTCGTAGATAAGACTAATCGCCGTAAATATTACGATTTTGTGCGCCGATATGTTATCTAGGGCTATTTAGGTTATGCTGCAGTGTAAACTTAATTGCTTAAAAGTATAACACCATAGACAACGCTTGGACTAGCAAGTTTTTTGTGTTTGTTCAAGATCCTAGGTATGTTATAAACATGGGGAATCAATCAGCTTCGTCGTCAGAGGCGAGATAATGTTTTATGAAAGTTTGATAAAGGGGTCAGTCAAATAAGTTGTAAATCAAAAACGCCGCTTCTGTCTCTAGATAGGCGTTTCGAACAACGCATGCATCGTTATCAGTAAAGGGTCGAAGAGCTTGAGAGCAACGTTCTTAGATAACATCTTCCCTACGTCTTCACAACATTGTTTATGACCGGTTATTATCATTATGCGTTTCCAAGTACGTAATTATTATTTAATAATAGATACCACCACAAAACCTTCCTGTATGATTTCGTGATAATCAACATTTCTAGCTACAACAATAAACAAGTATGTAAGTGAACGTTATCAGAAAACAAATATTCGTATAACATCTACGTTACAGTTGTGTGTGTACATATATCATGTACTTATGTGTAGTTAAACATGTTAAACGCCAACTTACCTTTAAATGAGAAGTTTTTCGGCCGCCTCCTCTTGACAACCTCCTCATCATTTTGGTTAAATCGAGGTGGAGGCATTTTTGGAACTTCGCTAGGAACCGTTGTGACTTCACCGCCACCAACGCCTCCTGTATCCAAGTATCCTCCCACTGAGTGACGTCTTCGCCCTTGAAGAGGAATTGTATAGAACACCTCCTCGCGTTCTTTTACGCCCTCCGATGTCATGATTGTTGTACTAATTTTTCCTTTCCTGTAAACGTATGAAATGTTATAAAATTTTTATTCGACAGTTTTTACTTATTAAAACTAAGTACATAAGCTTAATACGAGTATATTTGATGTCTATTCTTGTCTTTGATATATAAATGTTTGTTGCCGAAAAAAATAAAGTGTTTGTAGTGCAGGTAGGAAAGTTAAGGAAGGAAGTATACAAAATGATAATCGAATGTACTTACTTTAGTCTTGGGGCAGTAAAAGTATGTTTCATATCGCTAGGAGCGCAATCACCAGGGCGGGGTTGCCCTTTCAAGAATGCTTCAGCTTTTTCCGGTTCTTTAGCAGACAGTGACCTTAATAGAGCCCTGAATTCCTTTCTTCTGGGACTCTCAGGCTCTCTACGGCGAGGAGAGCTCAACGGACGTATACTGTCTGACCAGGTCCGCGTAGGGGCAGAGCGTGAGCATTGCTCGGTACCCGTACTTGAAGAAGCTCCAGCGCTATCGGCGACATCTTTGTCCGGGAAGGCAAAATATGAGGGGTTGTCTGTAACAATGGTAAAAATAAAATAAGCTCACTTATTTGTCTTTGAATTAAGAACTTTGATTCTAAATGCGAAGGTTAATTAAATCCACACAACTTGTCTATATTCGGTTTAAGGGGAAACTTTTTTTTAGTATGTTAAAAAAGTTTCCTTACCGACGACCATAGCGTAAAGGGCGGCGTTGCACGTTGACCAACGATCTACGACTGCCTTGCAGGAATTATTCAATAACGACAATGAACTAACGGCTCTCCATTACGTCCACTGCGGGCCGTGTAGACCAACCTACTTTTATAAGCCGGAAAATGCGAATTGAAAACAATCTTCATCCCAACTCCGCCATACTTAAACCATATATGGGACAGTGACCGATTTATGCTTATGAAGCAACTATGTATAAATACTTATAAAATGCGTTTTCTACAGTACTACAGTACGTAAAATATGATAAAGTAACACAAATAAAGTTATGCAAATGTTGTTTTAATTAGTCAACTTTATCTATGATTCATGTTTTCAAGACGAAACGAAGTTTCCTAGAATATTTTTAAGTAATAAGAAACTAATTGTGTCTGTTATTAAAGTTTTTGTATACCCGCATGTGCGGACCATTCCAATATTTGAACCGAGGGCGGAATGAAAGGACAGTCTTCGCATACATGTGGTCTATAAAAACTGTGACCAATGGACAATGGTTTAGACTTTGGATCATTTAAGGGAATAAAGGAATTATTGTAATTCTTTTCATTATTAACAATTTTACAAAATAAGTAGGGTAAGGTATTTGATCACATAATAATGTACTTTTTATTATTAATAAAAAATATCATACAAAACTTCAGAATTAAAAGAAATAATTAAATACAATGACAAAAAACTTAAGTAATAGTATGTTGTTGTAATTCAACTATTTGAAAAAATATAGGTCATTAGAATAAAAAATATATCTAAATATAATTTTACTTAAAAAACATTGGTTTCTAAAGAAACAATATTCGAAACATTCGAATAACATCGAATCTATGCTGATGAATCAATCCTAATTCTTGGAAAGGTACAAAATTATCCACGACAAATACCGTTGAGAAACGATAATAAACTGAAGATTAATTTAAGATAAACTATATTTAGTATTTGAAAAAATAATAGCGCCTTTATTTAAATCACTCACATTAAAAAGTTATGCAAAGAAATACGAGAACAATGCCTATGTAAATTCCAGATTGAACAAATCTTAATTGTATGTATGCAAATATTGAATCTATAGAAACTTATGTTAATGCGTATCAAACTTTATATACCTTTCTGTTATAAAAAGTATTGTTACGTACAAAATATCAAAGACTCAAACAGTCAAAGTTATTCCACATCGCAACTACAAAAGATCATAGGTCGCGGCGTATTGAAAATGTTTGAAAGTCCTGAAACACAAGTGATGGGCGGGCGGAAAATTTTCAAATATGCTTATAAATAAGTTGTTTTAGCGGAAAAGTAAAAGTATCCATTATAGTTATGTTATAAACAAAACTCACTGGTCGCTCGCAGACAATAGTCGAACTGTGGTCCCATGGTTTTTTCTCGCGAGTTTCGGATACGTTAAACACGACACATCCCGTCGAAGGCGCGGTCGGCTCTGTGCGTGTATCGCGGGGCGAGTGCTGTGCAGGTGGAAACAGACGCGGCTTAACGCACACGTGCGGCGCTTTCATGGGGAAGAGAAGCTTTCTTAGCACGCGCGCAGGAAACGTCCCGCAGCAAACATCGAACTGCCTCTGCGCATTGGGCCAAATATGCAACGTAAATAGATCTAGGCGACGAATTCTGCTAGGGTGCAATGCTATTCGCTCATTAAGCAAAACAACGTTTAATTACAGACTATATAATAGATACACTAGAGAGACTGCGTTCTAAGTATAATTATTAGAGTTACCTTGTACTATTTCATTCAAACAACTGGAACTTACAGTAGACCAATTAAACAGTCAATCATTTGCCAGTAATTTTAGTATAGAGTCCATATAGGAGGATATTGAGAGGACTTGCATATAATTAAAAGATTTTTTCTAATAAAAAAAAAACAATCTAAAATGTCTATGAAATTAATAAAATATGTACTTATATAAAACAGAAATTAACTGTAAATATAGACTGCATTCAAATTCATTCATCTATTACAGCCTATCCAAAATGCCAAAGCTAATGATAGTTCTCTGCCATAGGTTGCCTTATAAGGGGAATAGTTGCCACGCTTGGCAGGCGAGTTGGCAACCGCAGATTCTTTGTTATTTTAAAGTTACTGTTTCATTTCTTCTTACTACGCCCATGTTGAAAAATATTAATAATAGAAGGTAATAGATTCTCTCACGGCTCCCTTCACGATACGATTTAAGCCTTTGTTTTTTGAACGCAAGGAGTCATATGCTCGTATACAAGTTTTTATTAGTAGGGGAGTCTTTGCCCAGATTTAATTTGAGTGCCCCGTGCGTGCACGCGCGTCCGTTTTGGTAGCACACGCCAGCCTGTTTGTAAATAAAAGTCGTACTTTGTTGATGTTGACGTTCATTCATATTCCTAGCCAGTACTAGTCCTTCTCGTTAATACTGTTCTACTAGTACAATAAAATCTTAGTACCTACATTAGGTACATTGCTTTTGTAAATTATCTACCCGAGCTTGACGTGCTAGGATCATAAATCATAATGATTGTCGAGAATGTTTCGGGAAATCGTTTCGGTTTTTCTTTATTTCGAAATTTTTGAATACTTTGTGGATTTTTGAAATATTTTTTAATTAAATATTTCATAATTATATAATAAAATCGATGTGCAAGGAAAGGTTGCATAATATGATACTTATTAAAGTGAATTTGAAAGCAATTTGTTCAGCCAGCTTCACTTATTGTTCAAGCTATAATATAGCAGTGCACAGTCGAATAGTCTATTCGCATTGTATATTATGTTGGAATGTAATATTTCACGCGTTGCCATCGCAGCGCTTGTCAGAAATTATTTTTTGTACTCACAATAAATGATTTATATTTTTTGAAACCATAAACGTATTTACAATCAGACATAAAAATGAATCGATATGAAGACATAGCTAGACGTGTTAAAATGTGCTAATAATATAAGGTCAAACTTCGCAGTGGATTATAGTAGATCCAAAGAAGTAATAATTTAATTTAAGGTCTATTTCTAAATACATTTTAAAAGTGTTGTCATATTACTCTTCTCATATTGCATGTATAAATGCAAGTCTATATTTAATTTTAATCTCGACTAATGAATCGGGCTTGAGCCGTACTACATAAAGACTTGGGGTGAAATTTTTGAATCACACGCAATAATGTCGAAATACGAACACTAAAATATCGCATGATATGCCCGTTTGTTGTATTTATACATCTTCTGATTAATGTCAATATCATAATAGTAGAACAATGATAATGAAAATAAAGAAATCTATCAAGTCGTTACTTAGATCACAGAAAAAACTATGTTATGTATATCGAAACAAATTTCGATATACTATATCGCTATATTCTATTAATTAAGAACAATCTTTTATTACATTTTTACACCTAAAAATTTTAATATAACCTAGTTAAAGTTTTGCGAAACACGGTAGGATGTTATGACGACCGATTTTATAATTGACCACTTTGTTAATGGAAGTAAAAAAAATATACCAGATGTCGGGCGGACTGTGTTTACTTGCATCTGCTTATAAACAAAGCTGATTTTTGTTTTATCGAAATTTAAAGTAGAGCAAAGTGTAATATGCAAAACTTATATATAATATAAACAGAAATAGCCAACACTAATACTTTATTACCTATATGTAAACTTGATAATTATACATTTGTGAATAACTTTTTATTCAAAACATAATTATTTTTTATATTGAATAAATATATATATCCTAGTATTCTGTATTGGTTTATAAATATAGATCTAACCTGACCCATAAAAATAAATGGTGAATAAGAAAGTACATAATTTACATACAATAATTTAATAAAATTATCTGAAATATATTTTCGAGGGCAAAGAAACAAATAAACAGAATAAGTGTAATATGCTCATAGTGTTATTTGACATCAATTAAATAAATGAAGACACATCGTTGAAAACAGATTTTAAATAAAAAATAAACAGTAGCTGGATTTGGAGTTCAAAATCCGCGGTATATTTACGGAATGCGCACAAGTTTATTTATGCGAAGCGCATATGTTGAAGCCTGCATATCTGCAACCAGGGTTGCCTGTTATTTAAAGCATTGTAGGACAGTTTGATAACCAAATCTTGCACACTAAAAATATATTTGTAGTGAATATAAATCCAGAACATATTCTAAAATTTCGCTAAACTGTCAACGCAACCCATCAACACTGGCGTGGCATTTGTATTACAGTGTATAGGGCTACCTATAAGGGAATATTTTTTCATAGTATTTTTCTATAACTTTTTGTTTAACTGTGTATCTGATCTACATGTGATGCTCCAGACTCTGACTAGTATTTACCAGTGCAAAAATATCGGCTCGCCACCCACTAACTAGTCGAGTGTGGCGAGAATTTAACTGGGATAGGCAGAGGTGCAATTTGGGTTTCTGCCACCTTTTTTTTATAGAATATGGGTAACAAACGAGCACACAAGCTGCCAGATGTTAAGTGAATGCTGAGGCCCATAGACATCTTCATCCATCCTCGAACAAGAATCAAAATTCAGATGCGCTGTCACTCCTGAACTCTGATGGAATGCCTCGTTTCCAGTAAAAGGGTCTCCGGTTCTCTACACTCACCATACGAAACAGCAGTGGTAAACTGCTATATAACGCTGGTATTCTGTGAGGGAGTGGTCCTACCCCGGTCGAGCCGACCTATTTGTGCTACAACTAATATAGCTGCAGCGTGACTCTACCACGCCTTCCGTCTTAGTGATCAGAGGTGGCTAAGCATTTGTAAAATTCTTTATTTGAAGTTGCTAACAGGTGTCCGTAGACTGCAGTAGTCACTTCTCATCAGGTGGACTGTGAATTCGTTTGTCACTACAAAAAATTATTAACAGCCCTGTGTAAAGTAGAGTCGTTTCAGTAAGATTTAAAGCTCATATTAGTCATTGCGTTCTTGCTATTACAGCAAATATTAGTGAAAAGGGACGTTTTGATATTAAACCGCAATGACATGACTTATAACGACTTTATACTTGAATGATACGGACCACCAAAAACAAAAGATTAAAGTAGCATGACGCCGTTAAGACGTTAAGATTCGCAGTTTATTTTTATTATTTATAAAATATAAAAATTTAATTTAAAAAAAGGACTTTATTGTTCTTTAAAGTATGAGCCAGTATTTAACAGATTTTAATTTAATGCAGGGGCATACTAATATAGTAAAAGACTATATATGTAAGTTTAATAGATAGAATGTGCACGCTACTTACTGGGTGGGTGGACGACGCTCTGGAAAATATATACGAGTACCTTTGCAAATATTCTTGTTTAGATAATTGATTGACGTTTTATTGTATATATTGAATATATTTTATTTTATCTTACTTATCATTTTTATATTATATGTTTATACAACCCTACCAGATAAGAGAGCACACTATTTAGATACTCCAAAATTATAATACTTATTGATAAAATAATAATAATACGTATAATGTCCTCCAGATCAAATTTCGGTCACGGAAGCCAGCCTCAACGAAGATTCGTTCTATGCAGTGCAGGACAGAATTATGGTGCACGAATGTGTACGCAAACACAGTTGGACTCGAATTCGCTCACTTTCATAGTCCGATGGGACGGCAATCCGACACGACCGGAGAGAGATCAGGCGCAGGACCAAATGGCTTTATGTGCTTTCCGAGGCATATGGGAGTGAAACCGTCAAATTTCTGATTATCAACAAATTCTCAGTAGCACCCCACTACTGAAAAATTTTTGATAGAAACTCCCAATAACTGATTTTGGACCCAGGATTCGAACTATATGACCAGCAGTAGCGCTTAGGACCGCTCGTTCGCTGGGCTGTCGTTAGGGTCGCTCGTTTCGCTGGGTGCACGGTAATATTTTATTGCGGAACCTAGATGTAAAATATGAAGAATTTTTTTGATGGGAGTATCGTAAAATCCGTTTTTAATAAGCGCCTACATTGCGAAATGAGTAACTATACAGAATTTCAAGTCAATCAGGTGTATTGTTTTAGAGGTATCGTGATAAGTCAGTCAATCAGTGGTATTTCGTTTATATATATAATATATAGAAGATTGTAAGTACTATATTTATTTCGAACAATATTATAAATTGGTTTATCCTAAACTGAATGAGGGTGAATAGACAAAGACGGCCATTATCGGACGTGTACGTCGCGACAACAGAACATCGCGTCGTCGACGGCTTAGATACAATTGGCTACTTCCGCTTGTATCCAATTAATTTACCGCGGACATACAAATGTACTACATATGTGGCTATTAAGAACATCCGTAATATAGTTACTTTAGATTTAAATTGCTTTAGCATCTTTCAGATAATAACTTAAAATAGTGGCAACTATGG